AAAAGAGAACTGCAAATGTACAAATTTCACGAACCGTAGGAGTCATGTAGGCCCGTCACCCCATTTTTCACACTTTCAGTTCTTTGTGGCTCTTTCCTCCATGTCTTCCTCAATACCCATTGCTGTTGCAACAACTCCAATTTTGTTTATCTGTCTACTTGGTCTTTCATTATGGCCATGTAAGGAGAAACACCACGTCACTCATTGAAAGGTCTCTGACTGCTGCCACATCACATTTCTCATCCATGTCAGTAACATTCCAGTGTTGAAAAACCTGTCAACATTGACCAATCAGAGGGTATACGAGATCCTGGTATACAAAAACGACCTTTTGTTAAGTTTGCCCAGAGGTGTTTTTCGTTTTCTCCTGCCATGCTTCTCCCTAGCTTTCTGCTTGCCGTTTTGTGCACTGCACCCCAACTAACTGAACGCCTGTAAGAGGCTAGTCACTTATAGGAGGTTCAACTGTATTTATTTACAACACAGTTTTTATTCCCCTGAATATGCCTTTCCACTCATTCACTATCTGCTACCTCCAATCCCCACTATCTGGAACTATGTTGTGTTTCCCTTGAGATTTGCGAGAGTGGGGTTCCACTGTTAGTACCTCCCACTTGAAAAGCCGATAATTACCGAGTGTCAATAAACATTGTATGATATTGCAAAACAATGTGGAAATGGAGCACAGGTATTCAGCAGCTTGAAATACAGAAAAGCAGTAAATTATTACAGGCTGACCAGAAAAACACCTTCTCTGGACCTTTTACTTTATTATGAACAATGTGTGTTATAAGTATAAGAGTTAGTGTACATTAGGGCATAACAAATTGATAATTTTGATAGTCAATAAAAGTCAATAAAAATCAATAAAATTGATAATTTGTGACCCTATTTGTGAAAACCTGCCATAAGAAAAGTCAACACAAATGTGTTTTCCCTTACAACTCATGGTTAATGCGTTATAAATGCAGTGCATTTCATTGTCAACACATTGTGCATGAGTTCAACCCATTGTGGATCGCTGTCAGCGCATTGTGTTTCGTCGAACCGTTGTGGATCACTGCCAATGCATTGTGTTTCGTAGTCAGTGCATCGCTTCAAGCTTTTGATTTCATTATTTTAAAACAAATTAAGAACAAATGCACAGAAAAATTGAGCAAAATGCAAAAATCGCGGCCATGGTCAAAAATGAAACCAATCTTAATTTTCAATTTGTAACGAGGTATTAACGAGTTTTCAAAGGTTTTGGGGGTTACTTTATCAAAATGCGGGTGGATTTTCGAATTATTTGAGAAAATTGATTTTAACACTCTCATTGGTGAAAAATAGCAGAATAATTAGCATAAACTGGCATGGCATAAATGTCTTTATGTAAGTAGTAAAGCCTATATCATTGCGAAGAATGGAACTAATTTGAAAGGAGGAGTATTTGACACTTTATTTATGCCTACTGTACTTGTTGGTTCTAGGTCATGCTCCTTGCTACGACAAAACACATTCTTTGATAAGGTTTCACCACAGTCCCGGCAAATCGAGTTTCACCTCATAATTACAAACCAACAATTCGATTTGTGGCCATTGTTCAATCGGGCTTGTTTTTTGGTTATAATGTGTCTAAATGTTCTCCTTATACATCATATAAAAATTAGTCTGGGGTTTTATGCGAGCGCTTTATAAAACACCTTCAAAAATTGAGTAGTTTCACTAAAGTTTGAACTAATTAGCATATTCCCGACACTTGACACGTAAGTGAAACACGCAGGTTTTGAAGAAATTGTTGCACTAACTCTGCTTCACACTTTAACATGGATGACTTACTTTTACATGCTGTCCGGCTATTCTCCATTTTATGCTGAGGTCCAGATCTTGTTAAGGAAAGTAACGTAGTCCATTTGGTCAAGGGTCACGACTTAAAGTCACGGTAACGTCAGTCCGTGACGCTCAGGCTTCTGGGCAGCTCTATTGTTAACACACATGAAGCACACCGATGGAAATGAAATTTTCAAGATCAGGAAATGCATTCTAGTACCAAAACAAATTTTATTTCATCTATCCCTACAATTTGCGGCCACTCAGGAAACTCAGATTAAAAAAGTTGGATTTGATGTGTTGTATCCCCTGACGCTGGCTATTTCAATGGCAGCTATTATCCCCGGCTATTATGATGTGTGGACGTAAGTTTATACAAGATCATAATCTCTTGGTTAATGTCGTTAAGGGCTTTAATATAACTGGAACATCATTTCGTTCATATTAAAATGGGCCTTTGCTCGGGAGCTTTTTTAGGGTGAAGGGAGTGGAGCTTGTCAATGGCAGTTTACTGTACCCTTTCTATGTTACTTGTATTTTGCAATCCCAGAGTGACCGTGCCATCATTTTGCTTAATAGATAAATACAAAAATTCTTCACATGATACAATTATCACATTACAAAGTGAGAAAGTATTTCATGGTGGACAGCAGCTACACTTTTTCCAAAAATCTTTAATTTGACTTGGGTAGACTTGTGTCTTGAAATATCTCGACTACAGCAAAGCAAAGACCCATTTCTACTGAGTCTGGCAGTGATTGATATCTTTCGTATCGGAACCGCAATGACCGCCAACAATGGTAAGAAATGAACACGCCTTGCTGGCCATGATGCTTATAAGATGGATTGTTCAATTACGCCAAAAATAGATCCCTTTGTCAAGAGTTGTCAATTTCACTTCTCTTTTTCTATGCCAAGAGCGTCACGTATTGTAATGACAGAGGGGGGACATTTCAGTAGATTAGAAACTCTTGAAATAGCATTCTTTTCAGATTCAGGAAATGAGTAATAGTCTAATACTGAGGAAAATAATCAGCACATAATTATTGAGCTGTTTCTTTTCTGAGCAAGATCGCTATTAAACACCAAGGCGAACCTGGAGCAAGGTCCATCCACTCCTCCCCCCCTGAAAAAGAAATTTTTGGTTCTAGCATTCAAAACATCTGTTTCTTTTAAAACATCAGGAATTTAAGTGATTATTGTATAGAGCAAACAGTAGTATAAGGGGAATTAACTAAATACCGTTTTGCATCAGGGGGGCTTATTGACCCGTTTGGCAGTGCCACACCCCACACCGAAATCCAACCAAAAAGTCGAACCAAGCCCCCCACCACCAACATAACGAGACCCACCCACACCAGGGCAACAAAACCTCGCAACGAACGAAACAAAGTTTGGGTTATAGGCAAAAGTTGCCGTGTGTTGGTGCGGGTGGTTGATGGTGGGTGTGGTATGTGTTCTTGTGGGTTGGTGGGTGTGGGGCGTGGCCCTGCCAAACGGGTCAATGCGCCCCCCTGATTGAAACAGTATTTAGTTAATTCCCCTTATACTACTCAAGACACATGAAATGCCACGCAGCGCAAAGCCGCACAAGCCGCGCAGCGCAAAGCCACACAAGCCGCACAGTGCAAAGCCAGACAAGCTGCGCAGCGCAAAGCCGCACAAGCCGCGCAGCGCAAAGCCAGACAAGCCGCGCAGCGCAAAGCCGCACACGCCGCGCAGTGCAAAGCGACGCAACAGGAAGGGCCTAAGAGGAGCCGAGGCTGGAAACCCTCGCGCGGCAGCAAAGGGTACTTGGCACGCGGTGTTGCGCGGCGACCGCTCGAAACGTTTTGCATCAGGGGGGCTTTGTTTGGCCGTTTGAAAGCACCACATGCCAGGCGCGAGCGCGAAACAAAAGCGGGGCGCAGCGCAAGGGGCGTAAGGGGCGGGAAGCGCGGACAGTTAGACAAAAGCGGCGTTTGAGATACCGAAAGGTGATGTCTTCGAGCATTCAAGAAATGCTGGAACGAGAGCTGGCGAAAATGGACCCGGCGGTATTGCGTTATTTCGACGAGATTCTTGCAGAAAGCGCGCCAGCGGCGCAAAGGGTAGTCATGAATGTGCTGGACGATCCAATTCCAGAAGAAACGCAGGCGCTCCTGCAAAAGCCGCTGTGGCCGAAACCATTCCAGCCAAGAGCGCCTCCACGCCAAAGAAGGCGCAGAGGAGCGGAAGCGTTTCTGAGGGAGTACGACCCCTTGAGGGCGCAAACAGTTCGAACAGTGTCGGATTACCAGAGAGAGATCCAGGACTTGTACGACGACACAGACAAACAGGGGAAAAAGAGACAACAGGCCGGCGTTTCATAAGATGGTGCTTCATCAGGCGCCTGGGGAGAAACCTGATGGCTGAGTTCATGGCCAAGATACGGGCGAAAGTGAGCACGTCATTCTATCTGCGGCACGTTTTTGGGTACCAGCTGAGGCACATCGAGGACGGAACAATAATCGTGTACTATTCAAACCCGAAGGGCTCGCAGTGGTTCAACAAGTTTGAAGACACGGAAACTTGGCTGAACACGCGGGAAGAGGAGCGCCTGGACAACGAAAGAGTTTCAAGGCCAAACACGAAGTGGGCCTTCGAAGCGTTCTTCAACGTAGACGTGAAAGTTGTGCTGGACAGGGAGCCGTTGGTGGGAACAGGGCGTCTGCCAGACTGGCTGTGGAACCTTGCGCATACCCTGGAGATGGTGGCGTTGGACGTGTACAGAGACAACCTGTGCCTATGGCGGTGCCTGGCAGTGCACGGACAGGCGCGGACAGACCATTGCACAAGAGAAGCGAAAGCCCTGGCGAAGAGTTTCTATGAACTCAAGAAGATTCCAGCAAATTTCAGAAAAACGTCACTGGACGAGCTGGACAAGGTAGAAAGGCACCTGATTGAGGGCAAGCCCGTGAAAGATTAGCAGGGATTTCGAGTCTACGAGCCAGAGCGTTTGGAAGACGGCCAAGTGGTCTGGCACCTGAGAACAAACCCGAACCTGAGGATAAAAAAGCTCGTGACGATAGGCGTCTACGAAGGGCACACTTTTCTGATAAAAGACATTGTAAAGCTGGCGAAAACTTTCGCATGCACGCACTGCGGCCAGAGATTCACGCAATCGTGTAATCTGCAACACCACCACGAAACGTGCAGCGTGGGAGAAACGTTTATCTAGTGCCCGGGGGCAAAAGTAGAAGCTCTCCAGACGGCCTATGAGAAAGCTATGTACCAGAGGGGCCCAGTGTCGAAACAAGCGGTGCTGTGGCTGGAACGGGAAGCGAAGCGCCGAGGAATCCACATCCACCACGCAATGTGCGGGCACAGAGGCGAGAGATGGTTGGAGAGAGCCAGCGAGGGCAGAAAAATGAAAGCGTCGTCTGTGGACGGCTACCACCCCGAAACGAAGACGGTGTTCCAGTACCACGGCTGTCTCTACCACGGATGCCGTAGATGTTTCCCACATCGCGAGCAGGTCCTGGCAGGCGGCAAAAAAACAGCGGAGGAGCTGCACGAAGAGACGGTGAACAGGACAGCCTCGCTGCGGATAAAAGGCTACAAAGTAATCGAGGCGTGGACGTGTGAAGTGGGAACCCTGAAAGGGGAACTGCCGAAGAAGCAAACGCGGACATACCCGCACGCGATCTTTTATGATTTTGAAGCGTATGGAGACGGGAACCAGCGGAAAGAGCCGACAGGGGCGTTGA